AGGGGTGTCACTAACACGTTAAGAGACCATACAATAAGTGTCAGGGGCCCGAGACTGTTCAACTGCCTCCCAGCACACATAAGGGGGATTACCAACAGACCCCTGGCAGTCTTCAAGCTGGCACTGAGACAAGCACCTAAAGTCAGTTCCTGATCAGCCGGGCTGTGGCTCGTACGTTGGTTTGCATGCAGCCAGCAGCAACAGCCTGGTTGATCAGGCTCTGATCCACGAGGAGGCCTGGTCACAGACCGGGCCGCGGGGGCGTTGACCCCCGGAACTCTCTCCAGATTTCCAGATTTCCCAGGACAGCACCTCCAGCTTCACCATTACTGTCTCCCAGGACAGCACTATCAGCCCCACATTTACTGACTACCAGGACATCACCTCCAGCCTTACAGTTTCTGACTACATGGCCAGTATCAAGGGTAGTACCATTCAGCCCAGACTTTTTATGTTCCCATCTGTTGTAGAAAGCTTCCAGGTTGTCTATGAAAGCAGCTTTGATGTTATCCTCTTTTAATACCCTTGTGATTTTAGTCCACAGATTTATCTCATTTGGGCATACCCAAAAACACTTCCCTGTTTTAATACTGCTTGTAGCTAGTTCTTGGATATCTGCACAAGGGGCGTGACACCAATTTCCACAAAAATGACAATTTATCCATGTGGAAGCCCGTTTGTTCGATTGACTGCAGACTACACAGAGCTAACAGAGTTTACAATGATTTAATAATAAACAAACACAATGAAATATATATTTTTCGTTAGGTTCAGAATGATTTTTGCGAAATTATTGCATGCCCAAATTTTCGCTTGCTTTATTCGGCAAGAAGAGCGTTCTTATTGAAGCCAAAATCACAAGTTTCATCAGGCCCGGTGGCCTGGTGGCTTAGGGGGGAGGAGACGGGAGCCGTTCAGCGCTCTCAAGAAAAAACTCGAAAAATTATGGAAATTGAGTTATTCATACAGAAAAATAGCTTAACTCTTTGGCAACACAATGGTACAAGAATCAATGTTAAGTAAGTAGAAACAACGTTTCTACAAGAAATTATAGTCATTTATATCAGGTATAGTGGCGGCGATGTAGGTAGCGAGTCTGTTCTCAACCCATGTATTTTTTGGAATTTTTTCCTTGTTTTTTATCGCTTTTTCTTTGCATTATTCTTTCTAATATAATAATTGATTATTTGGCATCATATAAGAGTAGGTGGAGCTTATCAATAGACGTCTAGCCTATCAGGAAGCACCTGGGTACACTCGGCAGTGCTCCCTCTCCAGAGAGAGCCAGGTGAAATCACTTCATTATTACGCTTATATCAGCTTATATATTAACTATACCGCTTATTTATCTATCAGAATTGATCTAATATGATATAATAATCACTATAAATAACAAACAAACATGTTATATACTCTAGACTGAATAAAATAGGCCATAATATAGGGAGTCCACCAGCAATATTTCGATATAATGAGTTACTCCTCCTCTCCATGTTGTATTGTTTGGTCTGTGAGTGATAGAAAATTGTGTTTTGAAGAGGATAACTGCACTAGAACATCAGTTTACTAAGAAATGCACCGAAACAAACGCGATTTTCGCGAAAAAAAAAAAAATTTGATGGCGGGCCGGCCGGCGTTCTAGACCTATATCTCGGAAGTAACTTATTCACTTATTTCGCTTTACAACTCCATTATTAATGATTGTATTCAAATGATTTTCACAGACAATATAAAACAAAGTGTGTTTTAAATTTTAACGTTAGATTTTTTGGAATATCTCAAATATTTTTTATTTTGTGGGGGGTAAATGGCAGATATTTTGGTGAATGCCAAAAATTCTGTCAAATGTATTTTTTTTAACATGATAATAAGATATATTAGATGAAATGGCAATGTAAAAACGTCGTGCTAGTTGTATTCTAACAGTTGGGAATGTCGGAAGTGCCACTCGTAGTGCCACTCGTAGTGCCACTCGTAGTGCCATTCGTAGTGCCACTCGTAGTGCCAATTTGTCATTTCATACTGCCATATATCAAAATTATGTTAATATTTTTTTCTATGTTGTTTGTTGGCCAATCATACTGAAACTTTGTCACATTCTGCTACATATGCACCTCTAAAAGTACACCAAAAATAAAATAAATCGGTTGAAAAATAAAAAAAAATGAAAATGAAAGATGGTTGCCCCCTGTATACACGGTTCACACACGGAGGACCCGGGTTCCATTCCCGGCGGGTGGAAACATTTCGACACGTTTCCTTACACCTGCTGTCCTGTTCACCTAGCAGCAAATAGGTACCTGGGTGTTAGTCGATTGGTGTGGGTCGCATCCTGGGGGACAAGATTGAGGACCCCAATGGAAATAAGTTACACAGTCCTCGATGACGCACTGACTTTCTTGGGTTATCCTGGTTGGCTAACCCTCCGGGGTTAAAAATCCGAACGAAATCTTAACACTTTCACCATCATTCACACATAATCACTGCCTTTGCAGAGGCGCTCAGGTACGAGAGTTTAGATGTCACTCCAAACAGCTGATGTCCCAAACCCTTCCTTTCAAATTCAAGCATTGTAAAATCCGACCTCCAGATCAAGTCCAGCTAACAATTTCTTTGAAATCCTTGCGAAATTAGCTGCTCATATAGTCCACACGTAGGCCACTCCAAAATCAGTGTCCATTTTCACCTAATTTTCATTTCATACTGCGCATGTCCAAACATTGCCATAAATTTTTTTACCCAATTGTTTCCTTCCTTTCCTAGACGACCTTTCCCTTTCCCCTCACATATGACCGTTTATACACCTTCCAATCACAATATACTCCACCCGGTGAAATTACAAAAAGTCAAAGAAAGCGGTCGTCCATGTACCAGGCCTTGGGAATCAGGGGCCGGTAACCTATTTACCTGAGCGAGTTCGGGGCAATGTCCCCGGCCGTTCCTGTACAGCTCCTGCCTGTATCAGCCTAGCACAAAGAGCCTGTGCTGTTAGCGATGATGCGAACGCTACGGGGCACACCGGGATGAGGACCCCAATGATATTAGTTACACGTCCGTGCCACTGAATTCTGGGTTATCCTGGTTGGTAACCCCCTAGGTGCTGAAGAATCCGAACAATCTACACTTACCTCATTACGACTATTAACTGCTAGAGGCCCCAGTTTCATTGGGATGATCATCCAACGCATGTCCTAAGCCTTTCCTTAATAAGATTTTAGTGCCAGTTCGGTACTAGTCCCTAGGATTTTCCTGTTAATCTCCATAATCATTCCTGCTCTGCTTTCAAGGGAATTAGGTTTAGAAACTCACGTCCTCAGTTTTGAGGTCCTTTTAACTCCGTACTCGCCTGAAGTATCTCTAACCTTCTTGCCCACAAAAAACTTTTTACCCATATTTCATCCTTTCAAACCATCCTCCCTTAAGGCTTTAAGCCTCAAGTTTTCCAGTCTGCTACATCCAAGTGGATGAAGTCATCATGGCCTTGCCGCCCTAGTTTTGAAGGTTGCTGGTGCATTGCAGTTGTCTGAATACATGTTACAATGTTATGGCAGCGGGCAAACCGATGTATGAATCACAGCCCGGCTGCTTAGGGATTGATTAGGTGTCTGTCCAGCTTACCCTTGAAGTTAGCCAGGGTATTTTCCCTTATGTATGTTGGGAGGCACTTGAACAGTCTTGGGCCCCTGACACTTATTGCGTTGTCTTTTAGGGTACTCATGGCACTCCTGCTTTTCATTGGGGATGATGTAGCACCGTCTGCCGAGTCTATTGCTTTCTTAGGGAGTTTTGCACTTCTGCGCCAGCATAGTAGAGTGAGGAAGGTCTAGCTATATTCGTGTCTAAACCCACAAAGGTATCTGCCTGGAGCATCATTAGCGAATTTTTCCAAATTTCTCCCCCTGAAGCATTTGTCCTCACTATTACCTCTGGGCAATTGGTCGGGGCAGTAGGTGTCCCTCTCTACTGCAAAGGGGAAAAACAACCTGTCGCAATTGGGAACTTTTTGTTACTGTTTCTTTTGAAAATGAAATTCTCTTCTCTTACCCTTCGTTGCCCAGACTGAGGACTTACATGCCAGCCTTAGTGGCGTGTGGGGGTCTTTATCTCGCTTGGGGTCTGTGGTTCTCTCTGGGATGCTTGCCGGGTCGCTAACTGGAAAAGACCTGGGCCGGGACATTACCGGTCCAACCATATCCATGGAATCCAATTCTTTTGGGAAGCTTGTGTTCACTTATTCTACCCGCCGGGCATTTTACAGGAGGAGCAACCTTCATCAGCTCCATTTGTCTGCTCTGCGGATATTTCTTTAACGGTTTTGGTGGGAAACCGGTTCTTAAACTCAGGTGAGGGGTGTGGGCGTCCATCTCTTCCGGTGCTTGGCTAAGTGGTCCGTACATCTGGTCTACTTAGCAACGTCTAGTTCATGTTTCTATTTGCAAAGGGAACTTCTGTTCTCTTATCTTTCATCGCTTAGCTTTGGGCAATAAGAACCCCAATGGAAATAAGTCATTTTGTCTGACTTTTGTGGGTTATCCCAGGTTCTCTATACATATGCTGCTATGTATGATAATCTATATAACTGTGAGGTGGCTCCGTGGCCTGGCTGGCAAGGCTCTCACTCACACACGGAGGGCCCGGGTTCGGTTCCCGGCAGGGTAGAAACATTCGACGCGTTTCCTTACACCTATTGTCCTGTTCACCCAGCAGTAAGTAGGTACCTGGGTAACAAAAAAAGGCACAATACCGTGACTGGAACAATACACAAATAACCCGCACGCTCCTCTCTTCTATGTGCGGGTTATTTGTGTAAGATACCTGGATGTTAGTCGACCGGTGTGGGTCGCATCCTGGGGAACAAGACTGAGGATTCCAATGGAAATAAGAGCTATCCTGGGTGGATAACCCTTCGGGGTTAAAAATTCGAACGAAATCTTATCTTATTTATGTATACCAGAATAAAGTTACAATATTTTCCGAGGAGCAGGAAGCTGGGCTGGACACAACGTAAGTTATCAATGGCCCTTGTAAACCCAACAAGAAGAACAAGAACTAAGTTGATGTGACTTTGTGGCTTATTGTGGGCACACGTAAACAATATATATCACTTAACCATCACTATAAGAGTTAAGTAAACTACAACTTGTGCAGTCATTGGAAAGAAAGAACATCTGCGTATATTACTCGTATCGTGAAGAATTTGTGATCAAACTGCAAGGTGGTGCAGCAAAATATTCCTGTGTCTCTACAATCAAGGTGATATTTCATTCTTTTTCACTAAGATAATTTTTACTCGGGTAACATACATGTGATTAAGCCTCATAAATTTACAAAAATGGATGTAATAAATGCATATATGTTTAAAGCAAACAGTTGTAGGAAATTATGCAGATTTAGCCTTGGATGAATGCCAGTGATTGTACCAACATTAATAAGTTTATTTAGGCACAGGTACACATAAGTACAATTATCATACATAGTGTAAATTACCTAGGATAACCAGAAAATTTCAGACAAAAGTCACTTCCATTTTAGGGAAATTCTTCGATATATTACTGAAAGTGTACAATACCAGCAATAATGATACTTGTCTTTCACAGCAGTACCATGATATCTTGGTACAGGGAAGTCTTCTGCATCATCTTTGTTAAACACTGGGTACTCATGACTGACTTGATAGCATCCTCAGCTCACTCACTCATCCATACCATGGATTGCTCCCCTCATGGGTGAAATTTTGATCATGTTTCCTCAAACTTACTGCCCATGTTTGCCTAGCACTAAGTAGGTACCTTGGGTGTTAGTTGACTTGTGGGTTGCATCCTGGGGAGAAGATTGAAGGACACCAATGGAAATAAAACTGAGAATCTGTTAATGCATGCACTTGAGAGATAGATAAGATTTTGTTTGGATTTTTAACCCAGAGGGTTAGCCAACCAGCATAACCCAAGAAAGGCAGTGCATCACTGAAGGATTATCTGCCTTATTTCCATTGGGGTCCTCAATCTTGTCCCCCAGGATGCAACCCACACCAGTTGACTAACACTCGGGTATGTGTTTGCTTGTTAGGTGAATGGGACAACTGGTGTAAGGATGTGTTTCCACTCTTGCCAGGGATTGAACCATGGACACTCAGTGTGTGAAGTGAGATTGTTGCCTTCCAGGCCATGGGCCTGGTAAGTTAAAAATTAACTTCAAATAGCTTCTAACTTAACACAAACCTAAATCATGTAATGAGATAACTCATAATATTTTAACAAGAATAATCCAACAAAATCACTGTGGCTTGACTCATGAAATCGTATTGACATTATTGCAAACAAGCAATACTACAGGCAGGGCTTGAACCTGTGGTTAGAGTCGTAAAACTCCAGATCAACACGTTAACCACTGGGCCACCTGGCTACAATAAGATTTCCACTAGGGGCCTAACCAAAGTTATTTACCTTTTTTACTTAGATACATATGCAGTAGGGCCCCACTTTACAGTGTTCCTCTAATATGGACATTTCAAATTATGACCAGAGCTCGCTATATGGCTCCCCCACCTGTCTTTCTAATACAGTCATTGCACCCCACCTGGTTTGTTTACATTCTCCATGAGCACATCTTTCTATTATGTCTGGAAACATTAAAAAATTTCAAGTGTTTTAAGGTTATTGCATGCAGCCTCTCCCCACTTAACGATAGAGTTCCGTTCCTAAGACCTCATAGGTAAACGAATTCGTCGCTAAGTGAGGAGCATACTATAATGATAGTGGGTTTGTGTCAACTATCTTTGATATTGTTTTCATGTCACCTTTGTGCCATTTATAACATTTCTTGTATATTTTTTAATGTTTATATAGTAGTGTACTTTTTTTTTTTATTTATTGACACATCGGCCGATTCCCACCAAGGCAGGGTGGCCTGAAAAAAGAAAAACTTAAATCATTCACTCCATCATTGTCTTCCCAGAGGGGTGCTTTACACTACAGTTATAAAACTGCAACATTATTAACACCCCTCCTTCAGAGTGCAGACACTGTACTTCCCATCTCCTGGACTCAAGTCCGGCTTGCCAGTTTCCCTGAATCCCTTCATAAATGTTACTTTGCTCACACTCCAACAGCACGTCAAGTATTAAAAACCATTTGTCTCCATTCACTCCTATCAAATATGCTCATGCATGCTTGCTGGAAGTCCAAGCCTCTCACACACACAAAACCTCCTTTACCCCTTCCCTCCAACCTTTCCTAGGCCGACCCCTACCCCTCCTTCCCTCCACTACAGATTTATACACTCTCAGAGTCATTCTGTTTTGTTCCATTCTCTTTACATGTCCGAACCACCTCAGCAACATATTCATACCACGCATTGCCCTCACACATGACATCCCCACTGTCTTCAGCGTTCTCCTTGTTGCAACATACATCACTCATGCTTCACACCCATACAAGAGTGTTGGTACAACTATACTCTCATACATGCCTCTCTTTGCTTCCACGGACAAAGTTCTTTGTCTCCACAGACTCCTTTTCCCCTCATCAATTCTATGATTCACCTCATCCTTCATAGACCCATCTGCTGACACATCCTCTCCTAAATATCTGAATACATTCACCTCCTCCATACTCTCTCTTTCCAATCTGATATCCAATCTTTTGTCACCTAATCTTTTTGTTATCCTCATCACCTTACTCTTTCCTATATTCACTTTTAATTTTCTTCTTTTACATACCCTACCAAATTCATCCACCAATTTCTGCAAATTCTCTTCAGAATCTCCCAAAAGCACAGTGTCATCAGCAAAAAGCAATTGTGACAACTCCCACTTTGTGTTTGATTCTTTATCTTTTAACTTCACATCCTTGTCTAAGGCCCACTTTTACTGGTAAATAATCTCCCTCTTTCCTACATACTCTAACCTGAGCCTCACTATCCTCATAAAAAACTTCACTGCTTTCAGTAACCTACCTCCTGTACCATACACCTGCAACATCTGCCACATTGCCCCCCTATCCACCCTGTCATATGCCTATTCCAAATCCATAAATGCCACAAAAACCTCTTCACCCTTATCTAAATACTGTTCACTTATATGTTTCACTGTAAACACTTGGTCTACACACCCCCTATCTTTCCTAAAGCCTCCTTGTTCATCTGCTATCCTACTCTTCATCTTACTCTTAATTCTTTCAATAATAACTCTACCATATAGGTATACTCAACAGACTTATTCCCCTATAATTTTTGCACACTCTTTTATCCCCTTTGCCTTTATACAAAGGAATGATACATGCTTTCTGCCAAACCCTAGGTGCCTTACCCTCTTCCATACATTTATTAAATAAAAGCACCAACCACTCTAAAACTATATCCCCACCTGCTTTTAATATTTCTATCTTTATCCCATCAATCCCAACTGCCTTACCCCCTTTCATTCTACCCACTGCCTCACGAACTTCCCCCACACTCACAACTGGTTCTTCCTCATTCCTACAAGATGTTATTCCTCCTTGCCTATACACGAAAATCACAGCTTCCCTATCTTCATCAACATTTAACAATTCCTCAAAATATTCACTCCATCTTCCCGATACCTCTAACTCTCCATTTAATAACTCTCCTCTCTTATTTTTAAATATCAAATCCATTTGTTCCCTAGGCTTCATCAACATAATAATCTTGAACCCAAACCCTCACCATGTGAAGCGAGAGCTTTAGTCACCAGGCCACCAGGCTGCCATCATTTCTAACTCAAGTGGCATTTAAAGTAAGAGGTTTATGATTCCTCTTTTTATCACAATTATTATTATTATTATCGTAAACGAGAGAGAACAAGAGGTACGTAGAGAATGTAAACTAACTGAGGGCTGTTAGGAAAACGGTGTTAAGACCTGTCTACTTTCTGTTCATACATGTTCATTTCACATTATGTATGCTTTTGTGAAGGGTTTTCCCCACAACACAAACACCTTACCTTTGTACAAGTTGTCTTCACATTGGTGCAGTAGAATTAAGAGCAACACTCCATTCCAATGGAACACACCATTTTTAAAGCAAATGATGCTACAAGTGAATATGAAAGGAATGTTTTTCTACAGTTACTCCAGTAATACTATACTGTACACAGCTTCTCAGATGTTGGACTAGGGAAAATGGAATTGTTGCTGTCACTACTACAAGCCACCCAGTTACACATCTCATATTAATGTCAATTTGTTCTACTATGGTTGTATATATTATGTTTATAGGATATAGCATGGCGAGAGGTCTCCCCCGCTAATCCACAACAAGGCGGCCGTTTGAGGAAAAGGGAATTTTTTTTTCCTTCCCTCAAACTGAGCCGTGTTAAATTAATTTTACGACGTGTTACATAAAATTGTGCCGCAATCCTTCAATCGTGCTGTACCCGAATTGTGCCAAATAAACTAGTGCTAAATGACGGTCTACTGTACAACATTTAAAGCACCCTGGAGCGATTATAATAATAATAATAATAATAATAATAATAATAATAATATCTTTATTTACTACAAGGACATGTACATGGTATACAGTCCTAGCTGACTTCAGTGACATACTACTATATAGAAACCCCTTTGTTATGCTGACCATTTCAGGCAAATTAGGTCAGTGTCCCAAGATGCGATCTACACCAGTCGACTAACACCCAGGTACCCATTTTACTGATGGGTGAACATAGACAACAGGTGTAAAGAAACACGCCCAATATTTCTACCCTGGCTGGGAATTGAACCCAAACTCTCGCCGTGTGAAGCGAGAGCTTTAGCGACCAGGCCGCCATCATTTCTAACTCAAGTGGCATTTAAAGTAAGAGGTTTATGATTCCTTTTTTTTATCACAACTGTTTTATTATTATTATATCGTAAACGAGAGAGAACAAGAGGTACATAGAGAATGTAAACTAACTGAGGGCGGTTTGGAAAATGGTGTTAAGACCTGTCTACTTTCTGTTCATACATGTTCATTTCACATTATGCATGCTTTTGTGAAGGGTTTTCCCCACAACACAAACACCTTACATTTGTACAAGTTGTCTTCACATTGGTGCAGTAGAATTAACAGCAACACTCCATTCTCATGGAACACACCATTTTTAAAACAAATGATGCTACAAGTGAATATGAAAGGAATGTTTTTCTACAGTTACTCCAGTAATACCATACTGTACACAGCTTCTCAGATGTTGGACTAGGGAAAATGAAATTGTTGCTGTCACTACTACAAGCCACCCAGTTACACATCTCATA